CCCTTCCCCCGCCAGATCAAGGCTCAATTTTGCTGGATAAGGACGGAAAGAGAAAACATACCAGACCCACTTTTTCTGGCCAGCAGATTTTCGCCCTGGAAAAGACTTTCGAGCAGACGAAATACCTGGCGGGCCCGGAGCGAGCCCGGCTGGCCTATTCGCTGGGGATGACCGAGAGCCAAGTCAAGGTGAGAGCCCTTCCCGCACCCCCGGGGGCGGCTGCGGGGCTGGGGGAACGCAAAACGCCTGCCTGGGATCGGGGGGGACAGAAAGGGGACCCCTCTTTCACCGAGGGAAACGGCTCCGGTCCCGGGCAGCCGGGGATGATGCTGCGGGGGCTAAACCCGCTCCATCGCGGGGATGATGTTGCGGGGCCGAACCCGCTCCATCCCGGGCAGCTGGGGATGAAGCTGCGGGGCCGAACCCGCTCCATCCCGGGGATGATGTTGCGGGGCCGAACCCGCTCCATCCCACGCAGCCGGGGATGATGTTGCGGGGCTAAACCCGCTTCGTCCCGGGGATGATGCTGCGGGGCCGAACCCGCTCCATCCCACGCAGCCGGGGATGAAGCTGCGGGGCTAAACCCGCAACATTTTGCAGGGCTAAACCCGCTCCATCCCACGCAGCCGGGGATGATGTTGCGGGGCCGAACCGGCTCCATCCCGGGGATGAAGCTGCGGGATCGAATCGGCTCCATCCCGGGGATGATGCTGCGGGGCCGAATCGGCTCCATCCCGGGGATGATGTTGCGGGGCCGAACCCTCTCCATCCCGGGGATGAAGCTGCGGGACCGAATCGGCTCCATCCCGGGGATGAAGCTGCGGGGCTAAACCCGCTCCATCCCGGGGATGATGCTGCGGGGCTTAAACCCGCTCCATCCCACGCAGCCGGGGATGAAGCTGCGGGGCTGAACCGGCTCCATTGCGGGGATGATGTTCACACCCCAGCACAGCGGCCCCCCCCCCGTGGCGTTCGGGCTTGAACGCAGTGGGTTTGATTGTTTGGGGTGGTTTTTTTTTTTTTTTCGTTTCTTTGGCTGTTTTTTTATTATTAATATATTTAAAAAAAAAAAAAAAATAAGGCTTTAAAGCGTCCTCTCAACCCCGCCAATAAGGCAACGAAGGGAGAACTGCCCCGGGGGGGGCCTCGCCAGGGGCGGGGAGGCTGCTCGGTCGCCCCGGCCCCGCAGCATCATCCCCGGGATGGAGCGGGTTTAGCCCCGCAACATTATCCCCGGGATGGAGCGGGTTCGGCCCCGCAACATCATCCCCGGGATGGAGCCGGTTCAGCCCCGCAGCTTCATCCCCGGCTGCCCGGGATGGAGCCGGTTCAGCCCCGCAACACCATCCCCGGGACGGAGCGGGTTCGTCCCCGCAACATCATCCCCGGCTGCGTGGGGGGGGGGGGGGGGTGTCAGGAGGGCAGCACCCCCCCAAAAAATACCCCCTGTCCCCTCCAGCGCTCCGCGGCCGGACGGGAACCGTTCACCGCGGTTCCTCCCGTCCCCCCGCATCAAAACTCTCCGGTTTAATTAAACCGGGAGCTGTGGGGTGTGAGGAATTTTTTTTTTTTTTTGGGACGTGCGGGGAGGCTTTTTTTTGTCGGGTTTGAGGCCGAGGGGGCCTCTCTCGGCGCTTTCAAAACTCGCCCAGGGACCCGCCTTTTGTCGCCGCAAATCTGTCCCGCCAATAAATTATTGCCGCCTCCACAATGAAAATAACGATGGGGGGGAGGAGGGGGGGAGGGAAGGGTGTTGGGGAAGGATTCGGCCCCAAATGTGTGGGGTTTCCCAGCGGGGGTGGCCGCCGTGTCGTCGGGGGGGGCAAAAAAATATTGCGGGATGGATGGATGGATGGATGGATGGATGGATGGATGGAGAAGCTGCGGGAGTGGGGAAGGGGTGATGATGATGATGGTGATGGTGATGGTGATGATGGTGATGGTGATGATGATGGTGATGGTGATGGTGTGGATGGATGGGTGGATGGATGGATGGATGGAGAAGTTGCGGGAGTGGGGAAGGGGGTGATGGTGATGATGGTGATGGTGTGGATGGATGGATGGATGGATGGATGGATGGATGGATGGAGAAGCTGCGGGAGTGGGGAAGGGGGTGATGATGATGGTGGTGATGGTATGGATGGATGGATGGATGGAGAAGCTGCGGGAGTGGGGAAGGGGGTGATGATGGTGATGGTGATGGTGATGATGGTGATGGTGATGGTGATGATGGTGATGGTGATGATGGTGATGGTGATGGTGATGGTGATGGTGATGATGATGGTGATGGTGATGATGGTGATGATGATGATGATGATGGTGGCGGTGGGGTTCAGGTCTGGTTCCAGAACCGACGGACCAAGTGGCGGAAGAAACACGCGGCGGAGATGGCGACGGCCAAGAAGAAGCAGGACTCGGAGACGGAGAGGCTGAAGGGCGCCTCGGAGAACGAGGAGGAGGACGACGACTACAACAAACCCCTGGACCCCAACTCGGACGACGAGAAGATCACGCAGCTGCTGAAGAAACACAAGCCGGGGG